GTCCGTTGGATGATGCCTCGGTACAATTTTTCCCTTGAGGCAACCAAAATATTGAAATTGCCCGTCGAACGCCGCAAGAATTCTGGATATCAAACGCGTGTGTCACCACACTGTAGTATCTTGGCTTTCATATTGGTAAGTTTGTAAGTTGATTGATACACATGGCGACACCAGACGTGTTTTTTTTTTGCCCGTCAACCTTTTTTACTCCCACGCCCATGACGCCCATGAATAGCATCGTAGCCAAATTAGTTTGGAATGTTTCATACTTGGTACTTTCTTGGTTATATTTTCTGATGACTTCAGGGAATGCGCTTCTTTGAAATTATCAGTCCACCATGCTTATTCCATTTATGCTAGGCTAATTATGACAATTGAATATCCAATTGAACGCCTATGAGCGCAACCCTCTTCAAAATTGATGGGCATTAATGCTATAACTGTCACCTAAGAACTATTTATTCTATTCAATGTAATGCAGTGCAACATGATGTAATTTAGCATAAGGAAACACGCTATGACTCTATTTATTGCCCTACTGATACACTACTTATGTAGTGCGCAAGCTTGCGCATAATCGAGCGCAGTCTCTGTGAATCAACCGCCGATCAGCGAACCACACATGGCTCAATTGTGCTTCGCGGTTGGAAGAAAGCTACTGAGTGCATGAAAAGTAGCAACTCGTATGGTTTCGAGCCACAATGAAGGAAAAAAATTTCCGTAATGAGATTCAATACCCATCACAGCCGCTCATCGCCTGCCCTCCCTGCTGCAGCTCGAAAGGACAGAAAATCGAAAAGGGGGGACGCACCCTGCGACTCGTCTTCCTCGGATCATTGAGGTTACCGGAAAGTGCCCATGGCATAACGCCCCACACCTCCAATCGAGGCAATTGCGGCGGCCACAGAGGTGCCCTCCTTGGTGCAGCACAGCCACTGCAGCAGTTGCGCCGAATCTTTCCTAATCAAGCGTCCAGGGAGGCCATGATGGCTGGGTCTGCGGCGACTGCAGCGAATCCTGCCGGTCCCGTGGACGCTACGTTCACGGCAACGGCGCTATGTCGTCCAAGGCCATGATCGCCGCTGGGGACGCGATGAAAACAGGTAAGTACGGCGGAGGCGGCAGCTGTGGTGGAGGCGAAGCATGCAAGATGCCGGCGGATGATGCTGTGGATACGGCAAATACGGACAGCTATGTCGAGCGGGCTGGGGATGCAGTAGAAGCCCCGTGCGGCTGACGAGACGGGCGGTGGCGGCTCCACACGCGCAAAGGATGTCGCAAAGCCGAGCGCGGTGTACCGCACTATGTAACTCAGCCTATGCAGCAGGGAAAGAAGCACTGGACCACATGAAGGAAATTGCCGCGGTTTCCACATTGCAAGTGAGTTTGGGAGGCCAATGAGATCGAACGAAAAGATGCTCCAGCGCAGTCAGTGCACAATGCACTGTGCTTGTTTCTCTGCACATGCAGCACACAACGTCGCGTTGTTGTCATCATCATCTGTCAGTTCTACATAACGAGGCAAGGAGGTAGCCGTCAGCTTGTCTTCCAAAGGAAACCCCCACCAGGGATATGGTACAGACGGCCCACAAGATTTCCCCCCGCACTGCGCAATGTGGAAGGTCAGAATAAATTGTGCGCCCGGCGCTCAGCGCAAATGATTGAGCTCCTCCTTCATGAAATTGCTGCAGGAATGGCGGTATGGTGTTCCGCGTTATTGTCTTAATGTGGATGGTGCTCGCTGTGCTGCAGATCACTGTCCATCCGACGCCGTGGGCGGTTGTCAGAGACCTCAGGAAACTGACCCCTCCGGATGTTTTACAGCCTCGCCTCCGAGCTGCTTGTTGGGATAGCTGGGCGCGCGGTGAAAAGGGCGACAGATTTGGAGGGAAGTAGCAGGCGCATGTCACACTGCCATAGCGCGAAAGCCACCGTGTTTGAGAGGCCCTTCTTTTGCTAGCTTTCTGCACTCGGGCATCTGGATCCAGGGCGGGGGCGCTGAAAACTGAGAGGCAGGACATTAAGATGTTGGCCCATTGCGGTAGCCATCACCTTTGGTAAGGGGCGTTTGGCGGAAGATGTTCGGGACAGCTTGTTATTTTAATCAAAGGAAAAATTGTGCAATCTCTCCCTTTCTGCTTTGAGATTTCTACTTCGAGTTTGATTCCTGTCAAGGGAATGGTCCTCCTCAGTTGACGTCATTAGCGTTGCCATGTGGCGCGGGACCTCGAAAGGGTTGTCCACAGCCAATGGCCTGTCTTGACTTTGGTACATGATTGGACAATGGAACTGCCGCGCGCTCTGCAGGGCGCTGAGCGGCATCACGCTAAAATGCGCCAGACCCAGTGCGAGGGCATTATGGATGGCTGTTCACAAGACCTAACGACCCAAGGATGCAGCGCACCAGTGCCACGCATGCGCCCAAACCCAATTCGTCAAGGAAACTACTGATAAGGATGGTTCCGTTTGATCCGGTTCAACACGGCGACCAGCGGACACTGCATCATGAGATCACATCCGTGGTCGCACCCTTCCCCCTTGTTGCTGTCAACACCTGTGCCAATGGCCCTGCAGTCCCTGGCGGAGAACACATGACACTTATCTGCAGTGCGTCAAATTGACTGACAGCCTGGGAAGCAGAACAACGAGCTTACAGCAACATGCCTCCTCCCGTGCAAGCGAAGCGAGTCAGATTCGGGCCCTGCACTGTCACTTGCAGCATGCGCCACGGAGGGCAGCGCCTTTACCATCCAACCCACGCAATTTCTCAACAATCCATGGACCCATCACCCCTCATCATTGGCGCAACCCCCAAGACTGCGCCGCGCCCACTTCGCGCTGCCCATGCCCGCCCGGTCGTTGGTAGCTCTACTGCTACATATCTGTCACCAAGCGGCAGTGAGTGCCATCGCACCCGCGCTCTGTACAGAGTGAACATGTTCACTGCAATCCATTCCAACTCGTGCCCCTACCCGCAGCAAATCCCCATTCCACGTTGCGATCTCTGATGTTGGATTGTAGTTCATGCCTGGCGGCTTCACTGATGAGGGGCATCGGGGCGATCGGCGCGAGTGGACTAGGTGAAACTGAGGACTGGCGATTGTGCTTGGGGATGTTGCCAGAATTTTCATGGTGTCTATCAGAGACGCGTTCAGCCCCTAAACTGCGAAAGTGCCAACGTCAGCCATTGGGCGATCAGAGCAAAACGGGTCAGTAGAAGGCTGACCCAGGGGCGGCGCATCGCGATCAGGGGAAGAGGGTACAGACCGGGAGCCTTCCATAGCAACGCGCCGTGATGGCACCAACGTGCACATTCTCGGCTGTACGTATTGTGCTGAGCCTCACTGAAAACACTGGCAGGGTCTTACTGACAGGGCTCGCGGCTGTATCGGCTGCCTGCCTTGTGCTCCCAATGTACTCTCCTCGTGCTCTCTTCCCACGTGAGTCACGCTTACGTTCCAGGTACAAAAGTCACAGTCATGGTGCTTTACGATGAGGTCGATTCACAATTGCACGCAATTATTAGATTAGGTCGATCCACAATTGCACGCAATTGTTATCTGTCCATACCTATTCCCACACCGATTGGGCCAGTGGATGCTGCAACATCGGCTCCACCACACTGTGTACCCAGTCGTAGCTGGAGCCATGGCCAGTACTTTAGGATGCCGGTTTCCGCAGTCGGGGAAAGCGGCGTGCCGGGCCGGGCCCTGCTCGAGCGTCTGGAGTGCAGTCTTCCCCCACCCCCGCCAGGTCACACGTTGACGCAGGGCTCTGAGGAGATTGGACGGCCAGGCTTCCTTGGCGCAGCACCCTGTGATACGAACGCCTGCTTTGCTTTGGTGGCTCGCCTTGCATCGAAGAGCAAACTGCAGCGCGGGGCCCTGTGCATGATCTGGCGTTGAGGGGAGCAGGGAAATCCACAGCGGTCGCCAGTACCGTCTCACCGGTGAAACGCTGCTGCAAGAGCTGTGGGTCAAAGCTCAGGTATTCGCGGCCAATCCGAGTGACTCCAGCGGGGAAGTGGGGCTCACCTGCAAGCCAAGGTTTCCGTATAGTCGAAGCGACAGAGCCGTGATGTCGAACTAGAGTGCCTTTCCGATTGCACTTTCCCCGACTAATGCAGCCTTTACACCATCCACGGTTTTTCAGGCGATTCTCATCCACAGTGCCTGTCCCAAAATGTATGTTCATCACTGCTCACTGAACAACTCAAAAGAGCACGAGGAAGACAAGGCAAACTCAAATTCAGCCACAAGAAATGCGCAGTTTGGCCTCCAGGCATATGGCATGCAATCAAATGGAATATTTCCAATTGCTGGTGCAGCAATGGCATGCTTCGATTGAAATTGTCAGGATTGGCAAAACGGGAAGCTTGCACCTTCTATCCGATACCAGACACTTCTTGCACAACCGCTTGGAGCTGTTCTCGAACGCAATGCACTCGTTGAGTTTCGGATTGAGGCCATTCTTTGCTGTCCACTTTTGTGCAACGAGGTCGCAGACCTGCTGCTGACTGCCCTCTGTTACAGTTGAAGCAAGTACTGCTTTAGGTCGACCATAGCAACGAAAATGGAGAGCAAGATGACTGTAAGGTTTCAGAAATATGCGAAGCTACCCTGGTGTGATCTTCAGAGTGAACGGCGTTGACCTTTTGCAGCCCTTCACATATGTGCTGAGTGTGCGTTACAGCCACAAGAAATCACGGGTTTGTGCAACAGGTTACAGAACAGGGGTGCATCATGCTCCTTCAGATGTTGAATTGGAATGTAATGTGGATGGATGCAGTGTGATGGAAGAGTGGATGATCGATGTTGTGGTGTTGATGGAATGAAGAGCTCTGCAGCCTTTGCTGCCATTTGTGAGTTCATCAGAACCTTGCCTTTTGAACTGTGTGGCTCTTGAGCACTGCAAGCGACTGCTATCACTTGCTTCATGGTTAAACTGGCTTTGAATTTCCCTCTTGACTTCTGTCTGTGCCCAGGCTGGATTCATCAAACATGGCCGACAGCTCATCACAGCCAACAGGGTCTGGGAGCAGGTATGGTGTTGGCATCATGGAGCAGCTTTACGAAGAGCAATGACAACTGTATTGACAACGGGGAAATATTTGTTCGGCTTGGGGCAATTTTGTTCTTGTTAAGGCCTTTGTGGTGGGTGTCCACATGTCTGAGGCTTGAAATGGCAGGAATAGTCCCCCCCGCACCCAGGACTGTGCCTTGGTGGTCAATTCTCAAGAAATGGCGGTTGCATTGCACTACTGAAATGCACTGAGCTGGGCCAGGATCGAAGCTGCACATTGTGTCTGTCTCAGTGCCAGTTGGTGCTGATGGCCACCGATGCATGCCTTTTTACTGGGTACCTTAATCGACTCGAGGGCAATTGTCTGCAGTTCCACCATTCACGGCATCACAGAAAGCCTGAGGGGTCTGAATCAGGAATACAACGACATCAACAGCGGAGCCATAACCCGGCAGAAGTCAACTGCACATGCTGGGGTGTCTTCTAGGTGGAGGCGGAGCCAGACAGGGCTTGGCAAAGGTGGGGTGACACAGCATCTGAGGCAGTCAATCCCTTCCCACAGCGCTGTGCTGCGGCGGTAAAAGTACCCTTGGTTCATGGTGCTGGGTGGCTCTGCTGCTTTTTGGGTCCTGAATCAGCGTTCTGTCTTTTGGTTCTTTGGGGTATGGGAAAACCGCTCACTCCCAACACTGGTGGCTTTGAACGCGAAGCAGGTGCCAAAGAGGTGGATACCATGATCCACCGGTACTTCTCTCCAGCACTTTCACTCGGGATAACCCAGGAAGAGGCAACAAGGCCATCAAAAGCTGGGCCAACATCACCACAGGGCCGAGAGACAGATGAAGAGGCCAGCACACGTGCGTCTGCCTCGCCCATTTGCCGGTCCCTGGATGCAGAATACATGAGCCCAGAGCATTGCCAATCCATTCTTAGGGAAGTGCGGGTTCTCCGTGAAGATGCGAATCGAATGGTGGCATGTATGGGGAAAGCCACAAGATCGAGTGCTGAGACACGGGGATCGAAACGGCGGGCGCCTTAAGCATACCGTATTTTGCCTTGCACTTTGGCCACTGCTTTCAAGCTTGTCCCAGAGCACCCAGAGTTGGCCATAGCAATTCTTACAGTACACAGATGAGTGTAAATATATTGGTTGGGGAGGCTGAACCTGTTCAATGGCAGGCTTGCATCCTTCCAATTGGTGTCCCTGGGGTTTAAGACCTACTCTGGCTCCAGCAATGTCGAAGAACCATGACAGATGTGGATGCAGACCTTGGACATGATGGTTGCTTATGAGCAGGGCTGTGCTATCGCTGGCGGTGGTCGCTGGTGCTGACAAACACATACACTGAGCACCAAACTGCTGCCTGTTTCCGCTAGCTGCTGCAGGCTTTGATATCATCTGAAGAGGTGTCCTTCACTATTTATTTGGTTGTGTTTGTCGAGGACTGGTCGTAGCCTCAGTAAGTGCCTGCTCAACACACCTGCCACAGCAGAAGCCCGCTTGGCGGGTAAGTCCCAGGGTTGATTGTGCTGCTGAGCCAATTATGCACATGCATTGGCCGTGCAGTGCGCTTGCTGACAATCTCCTGCAGCGTTTAGTTCAGGGCTTCTCTTTATCAGCACCTTGGCTTCACTGGACTGCACAAGACGCATCATCGATAAGATGCGCATGATCCTACAATCGATGACTGCTGGTGTTCGGCGGCAGGTTGTCAGGGCCCAACGCCTTGGGCGCGCTGCTTTCGAAATGAATAGCAATGGATGTGATAGCTGTCCTGCATCAACTTCTGCGTGCAAGGGGATTGATCCAATTTCTGTTTCGGCAACGTAACCAAATTGATTACAATGCAAAAGGCAAGTGTCAAGAGCACGAGTCGAGAAGCAGCGCAAGCGAGCAGTTTCCCAAACTACCGCAATCCCCAAAAAGGCCAGCCGGACGCAAAGGCCCACAGCCACCACCCAATCCAGCAAGCCCGGCTCCCAGAGCACCCAAGCAGCGCGCGCCCTCACCAAACCCCGGAGCCTCGGCCTTCCCGCGAGCCAGCGGCCTGTGCGCGCAAACAGTTCAACGCCACATCCGTTTCTGCCACACGGCATTATGCACACCACCCGGCAGTGCAGCGCGTCGCCCACCCACCCACCCCGCCCCACCCCGCCCAAAAAAAACGCCCCCCGAGCGAAAAAAGGTCGGAACTGTTCAGGGCTGCGAGTGCGTGCTGTCCCTGCGGGACAGCCCGGACAGCGCCACCATCTCGTCGGGCACCACCGGGTCCACGTCCGCAGGCGGCTGCACGGACAGGTTCCTCTGCAGCGACAGGCTGCGCAGGTTGGCCCTGAGCAAATTGTTCGCCGACCCCGGTATCCCCACGCCCACGCCGGGAAAGGGGCTCTGGGTGTTGGTGGGCGACGCGAAGCCGCCGGCGCCCCCGAACTCCCTCCCGCCCATCCCCGTGGGACTCATCCCGCCCAGCATCCCCGCCAAGCCCCGCCTGGGGCTGGACGCCAGCGGGGAGGACGTCCCGATAAAGGGGCCCATCGCCGGGCCGTGGCTGAACGCCGCGTTGCCCGGCGCGCCGAACGCGAAGCCCGGCATGCTGGGCGGGCCCTGGGGCCCGATCGGACCCGCGGAGCTGGGCGGCGGGTCGCCGATCCCGCGCAGCCTGCCGGACTCACCGAAGGGCGCGTGCTGGAAGTACTGGCCCAAGCCCGGCTCGCCCCCGCCCTGGGGCTGGAGCACGGGGCGGGATGCGTCGCCGGGGGGGGCCTGGGCGCTCGGGCGCCACAGGGATCCCAACAGCCCGGAATCTCCGGCCTGGCTCGGCAGGTTGGCCCCGAGGGCGGATGACGCACCGTAGTCCTGGGCGCCGCGGCGGCCGAACTCCGACTTGGCGATCCCCAGGCGCTCGAGGGACTTGGAGGTGTCGGCGTCGGAGGAGCTGAGGGGCCGCGGGGGCACGGCGGGCTGGGCCCATTGGGATGCCCCTCCGCTGCCCTGCATCAGGGACTTGACGAGGTCGACGTGCATGCCGTAGTAGGGGGCGTTGTGGCCCGTCTGGATGTCCCGCAGGCCCTTGAGGGCCCAGGAGTCCGCGCCCGCGTCGAAGTCCATCGAGCCGCCCCGGGTGGCGCCGATGCTGAAGTCCGGCGCGGTGGCCACGGAGGAGGAGGCGTCCATGGACCAGTCCACCGGCGGCCTCGATGCCTCGCCGCCAAATTCCAGACCTGGGAAGCAGGAAAAGGGGGGGGTGGGGGGGCGTCATGGGCTGCAGGCAAGCCAGTAAGGTCGCGTCCAGCACTCCAGGGGTGTGTGTGCCAGTGCACGACCTGATTCTGGCTATTGCTCATCCAGACATCTGGATGCTAAGCGCCAAGCGCACACACCCAATCCACAGCGACTGTAATCTGCTTGCAAATTTGACAGCAACAGGGGGAGAAGCCAGGGGGGAACCGCTCGGACAGGTCTCGAAAGAGCTCCAAGAGACCTCCAACAGAGGCATTGCCACCGCGGAAGGTGCAAGGACAGTGCTTTGTCAATATCTAAGCAAGCAACCAGAGGACTGAAAGCAAAGGAGCCAATTCTCACAAAGGACCCACCAGCTCCAAGTGACATCTCTCGGCCTGTCATGTCTGGAATTGGTCCTGGCAATGAGCAACCCCCATGGTACAGCGGTGGTGTGGTGTCCACAAGGCCGAGTTCTCCGGAGGTGGTGTCGTGGAGGTCACCAAATGCAGCTCCCATCACAGGATCGTCGATGTTCAAGCTGTCTATCAGCTTCCTCACTTCGTTGTCCAGGGCATTCAACGAATCCCCTTGCTCAAGACTGGCATCGCCGTCATACATCCCGCCAGCCATCGAACCCTCTTGTTGAACGAAGTTTCCACTGCCTTCGAAGCACATCGGATGCGTCTGCAGACCAATGGGACTGGGCCTGAGGTCGCGGGCGGTGACAAGGCGCTTCAGCCGATCGGCACGCGCCCGCTCCCTGCGCAGTTTGTCAGGTCTCTCTTGGTGGACCAACGCCATCACCAGCTCCACTTCCTCGCGCTTCTTGCGGTCCTTTTCCACCCTCTCCTTCTCCTGCAAGTCAACAGCACAGCAGTTGAGCACTGTGGTTGAGCAGTCGTTCAGAGCACTGGGTAGACAGCCCACAAAAGCCCCAGACAACTGTGCACAAAAAGGCACACTTGACCACATAGCACAGTGTCTTTGACCTTTTAAAGATTTCTTGACCCTCACCTTCTTCTCTGCCTCCAGCCGTTCCCTTTCCTCCTTCTCTTGGCGCTCCTTCTCCAGCCTCTCCACCTCCCGCTTCTCTCGGTCGAGGCGCTCGAGTTCCCTTTGCTCTTGCTCCGCACGCTCCTTCTCCTGCCTCTCCGCTTGCAGTCGTTCAAATTCGACTTCATCTTTCTTTAGAAGATCGACCACCTGCGGAGCGAACCCGATCAGACAAAGCGGAGCCCTCAGCCAGCAGGATCGTTTTGTTGCTGCAGTTTTGCCTGATCTCAGACAAATGCAGTTGCCACCACCAGCTGCGTTGCTTAACGCCAAGGAAAAGGCCATGGGTACATGCCATTGCACTTGCCCCACATTCTTTGCTTCAACAGCTTTAACGATCAGCAAGACCACAAATCCACCCATCAGGAACATGTATACCACAAACAGTACACCATACCGCGGGAAGGTGCTTGCGCAACTCCGCATTACCTGTTGGGCCAGCCTCTGGACTTGTGTGACATCGTCAACATGCATGCACTGTCTCTTGTCATCGCCAGTGTCCTTGGTGCCTGGGCTATCGCCATCGACGCCAAGACTTTCCTCCTCAAGCTCAAGGCCTGCTGTGCCTTTGGGTCCAATTTCTGTCACCTCCCTGGCTTTCTCCAGAGCAGCCTCGAGCACAGTCCGCCTTTCAATGACATCAAGGTTGGCCTGCTTCTGCAGCACCCCTTCCAGGGCCTCAAGGGCGCCCGCAGCCAGGAGGCTCTTCAGCTGGCCACGAGCCGCCACGATGACACTTGAATTAACGCCGCCCTGCTCTGCTGCCTCCACGATCTCCTGGAGCTCAGAGTACCGGGAAGGCGTGTCAGTAGCTTGCTGTAATGCGCTCTCCAGCCTTTGCATCAGCTTCAAGATGCGTTTCGCAGCATGCACCTTCACACCAGCAGTGGCTGCCTCCTGAATGGCCTGGGAAAGCTGGTCCGCACTCATGCCCTCTTGCAGCGCTAGGGATAGTTTGGCTTCACTCTCAGCCTGAGACTTCCACTGCTCAAGAGTGACTCTGGCCTTTCCCGTTTCCTCTGTGGAACCACAGCATCGGTGCTGTTAGCAAATTCACAATTGCGAATATTGCATTTCCAACGGCAGTCTCCCACTGTTGCAGCAACAATGTCATTCAGTTGAAAGCCAACCTGAATATACAGAAACACAAGAACTTGTCATCGAAGCCTGGACTGTGTTGAGTGACTTGGTGGTAGCATTGGAAACACGCAAAGGACAACAGTTCCCTGAAAAAGTGGGGCCAGAACAAAAAGCACCTGCAAGCAGCTCGTCGCAATCCCGAGCTTCCAGCAGTAACCGCTCCACATCTTCCGCATCCATTCGTCGTTGTTGCTTTTGAAGATTTCTGACAGCCGTTTCGAGGGCCTGCCTTACTTTGGCTGCATTGTGCAGCCTGACCCTGAGCTCACTGGCAACAGTATACCCCTCAGGGTCCAGCTCTTCTGCGCCCACTTTTCTGGCTGACAAGATGGACGCCTCCAGTTTAGGAAGGTCGGCCACCGTCTTGCAGCTGGTTGTGGCCCTCCCCAGGGCTTCTACAGCTTTCTCAACATCCATACGTTTCCTTGCTGCTGACACTTTTGGAACCAAAAGCTCAGATGGTGACCACACTCCGCTGGTTAAAGAGGAGCCCGAGGCGCTGCTGCACGCGGCTTCAGCTTTTAGAAGAGCTGCCTGAACACACCAAATGCAGAGACCTGATCAACCCTAGAACACATCAACACTCCTTACAAGCTTGTGCAACATACACCCATTCCATGCGTAGTCCTCGTTTGTCAAGCTGTGCATCAACATGAAGTACAGTCAAGTCACCATCCAGCGACTTAATAACTCTTGTGTGGCCATGGCTACACAGAAGCATGACCATGATTGGGTTGGCAATTCGCCACTCTCCATGAGCAGCACAGGCAGGAACAAACAGCTTCAACAAATACAATATGCAGAGCACTTCGCAGCAGTTAAGGAGACAATCGATACTGATGCTTGCGGCCCACATCAAGGCAATACAGCACCTCGGTTTGGCTCCACAATGCTAACTTGAGGTTACAATAGTGTCCACCACTGGGCCATTGGAGCAAGGGCAGTGCTCTATGAAGTTCAGCCATTCGACCATACTTCCCTCCTTTGGCTGCATCAGCGCTGGCGCTGCTGTTGTGCAAGTGAAAACATCAGAGCTGCACACATGCTGCACACACACTCCAGACGCCTGTTGGTGGACACATACCTTCAGCACACCCGAACCACAAGGTTTCTTGGCCATTACAGCATCCAGGTTCGACGCAGCGTCTGCAGCAGCAGCCTGGCCCTGCAGCTCCTTCAGCAGCCTCTTTGCTTTGTCCACACTGATGCTGGACTCTTTTGCCTCCTCAATGGCAACCTACGTCAAACAAATGCAGAGCTCAGTGCTGCTACTCGTGCACATGAACACAGGTATGGCAAATCTGGTACAGAAACTATGGTGGGCAGCTGTGCACACAGCCATTGGGCACTGATACGAAGTTGAGGATAGGCAGGTTGGCAAATTGGGTGAACAGAACGGTAGATATGGCCTGGAAGGATGCTGCTATCCCAATCGCATCGTTTGAGCAAACGTGCTTGTGGATGGCTACAATGCACCGCTTGCAACTGTGTCCGTGAGGTCACTGTGAACGATGAACTCAGGTCAAAGAACACCAGCGCCCTGCTGTCCCAGATCCTCGTTGTCCACACAAAACTCTGTTGTGCCCAGCAGGATTTTCACCCAGACTGACCTCAAGCAACTTCACTCTGCTCTCTAGCATTTGCATATCCAATCCTTGGACTTCTGCCCTATCAGGTTTCTCTTGTTTCCTTCCTTTCGAATGATGCCCAGGATGCGCTTTGACTTGGTTCATCACAGTGTCAAGACGCTCCATGGCCTGAGCGCGTCTTCTCCACTGCCCCTGGAGCACCTTTGCGTTTGCCACTTCCCCCAGCAAGTGTGGAAACTGCTCAGCCTCTGCTATGGCTTCTGACAATTTATCTACAGCCCCAGGGAAGCTGTTGTTTCCTGCGATGCATTCAGAACTTCTGGTTGAGATAGACGAAAAAGACTGCATGGACTTTCCACTTGCACTGCCGCAATATCGTTCAGCACCAACACAATCCTCAACAGCCGCACTTCAAACAAATAGTCATTCCTTTCTGTCCTAAACCGCATACAATGATTTATTCAACAAAACAGTATCCAAGCCCCCTGGCCAGTGGTGGGCACTGTGACTAGATCTTTGCCACCGTATCCCCTGTGCTGTTGATGTCTTGGTGCAGTTGACATGATACGGTCAGTGACAACACAAGTCAGACTGACCACCTCCACTGTTTGACATTGCCAGCGACTCCTTTTGCACGAGGTGGATTTACAACATGTTGTGCATCTGTAACCAAAGTGGAACACTACATCATCTATCTCTGCCAGTGAGGTGTGTGCATCGGCATCAGCACAGACTGCTACTCTTGCAACTCGATCAGTTGACTTAAGCTGGATAGCAAACATCGGCTTATATCCCACACCACTTGTCAGCAGGCAATGTGCACATGAAAGCCCATTGACATGGACTTTGGCTGCAAATCGATTTACAATAACTTGAACAACAGTGCAACCACAACACAGCTACACAGCGAACCTTGTTTGGCCTCCAGTACGGTGATTTGGAATTCCCCTGGAATTCCATATCAAGCAAACTCAATGCAGCATACGACCAGGAGCAACTGACCTTTGGATGAAACTACATCCCGCAGTTTGTCTCCTGCAAGCATCTCTCGCCTCGCATTATTGGTTACCTCCATGGCTAGCTCTAACAAGTACCCAGAGGCGTTATGTGCTTCATCCAAAGCCAACTCCATATTCTTCACAGCACCATCGCTGACTGGCCTGCAAGTGGACGATAACTGGCAGTATCAGTAACCAATACAAACTAAAAGTCAGGTGCCATTGTTTGCCACTGCAACAACTGATCACGTAGGTGGCAAGGGGACAACTCCTGAAGAAAAAGGCAAAGCCCATACTACCAATCTGACAGAAGGTAATTACTGTAAGTGTGTATGTGTGTGGGAGACAAACACATGCACAATTCGCAAGCCATACACGTTTCTTTCACAGAAAGGTTGAACGATGACTTACAATTGTGGACAGCACTAGGACACATCACCAATTTCCTTTCAACCACTCAAAGCGTCACTGTGACTCCAGCAACTGGAAGACACAGGTGGCAGTCCCATTGAACCCTTCTCAAACCTGCTGCCATTCGCCTGGCCCAGCTCCACAAAGTGTGAGATGCATTGGAGTTCCCCAACACTCTCAGGAGGGTGAGGCACTCAAACATCGCAGTGTGTCAGGCTTCGGAACAGTGTACAATGTACTGCTTCCAGTGTTGGTAGGCAACAGTAATAGAAGCAGAGCGGCTCTGTATACCGCTGCGACTGTTTTGAATCTGTTGATGTGTGCCGCTCCTCACCTTGCCAAGTATGGGAACTTGGACGAATTATACAAGACGGCCGTTTCAAGGACATCACTCATGGTCTGTGATGGAAGCAGAGGGCTACCCTGGAGCGCTTCGACCAGTATTAAATCAGACTCCGCTGTTTCCGCCCACCGGTCCAGCATTTGGACCTGTGAAAGCAACAAACTTGGCGGTCAAAACACCCAGTGGCTGAGGAGACACAATGCTCATGAAAGTCATGCAAAGCCAATTTGGTCAGATTGACATGTTCTTCTGAATATCCCGATAACATTTCGCGAACATGGAAAGGGGGTTGCCACAGGAAGGGAGAAGGAAGGAGGGGGGGGGGGGGTCTCACATTGCCACTGTCGTCGACCTGTTTTGTAGAATTACTTGCTTGAACGACAACACATCATTCTACAGTATCGACACTCTGTGAAATCTAATTCTAGTCATCAGGTTGACCGAACACTTCCGCGCTCGCACCACGGTCGCTCCCAGGCACAGGAAGCAAGGTCGTAACCAGATGAATTACAGAATGAGCGTATCAGTCTAAATACCAGTCACTGCAATAATGTTCTCTACCTAACTCCATTGTCCCCATGTACATTCACCATAACGCCATATTCACACATTCACTCCCCACCATAAAACGCCATATATCACATGTAATATTTCAATCGTTCCCTCGCCCTCACAATAGTAATCTAATAATAATAGCAACAATAACTAAATGTATCACTGCCAGCTCAAGGACTCACAATTCAAGTACCACAAACAAAGGGAGACACAATCACACAGTGGCGCATGCACACAGTTGAAATTGCAACACCTCCATCTTTCAGTTGCAATATGGTGCACCTGCTGGTGCAAATCCCTGCATTTGCCCCAGCAGGTAGATGGCAAGAAGATTTCGCCGCCACAAACTTTTCCACAACTCCACAACTTTCATGATTCCATCGGCAACTAAGAAGTTGCACACACCTGACAAGCGTCAAGAAGGCCCATGTCTTCATCCAGGCCCCTGTCACGTAGACGTTCCCACTCTTTCAAACATTGATCTGCCCTCCAGACAGAGGCTCGAGTCGCAGACTGCTTTGCCTCGGTGTCCAGCAACAGGCATATGTGCACATGAACCACCCTCATCAACGCCTGCCCAACATCTCTCCACCTATTTGGCTGCTGATCCTGCTTATTTTCGATGCGGGCAAAGAGTCGTGCCACCTGTATATGTGCCATCCGAATTGCTTGCACAGCGAGGGCTGCACAGCCAGAACAGCTGCAGCCCCTGTTTGGAGATACAGCACAACATCATAGCTCAGCACTCTGTCCAAAAGCACAAGTCAGGCACTCTGCACAATTGGTCACCATGAACAGCAATCAATATTCTTGTCACTTTCTTGCTACCTGAAGTCACATTTCCAGCAGAAGATGAACCAGGCAGGGTATTGTCAGCAGCATGCTCAGCAAGACAATCCAATTGCGAGATCACTGCAGAGTGCCTCACCTGAATTTCAGCAGCACACTCTCAGCCCAGCAGCAGTACAGGTCCGACTGTTCATCCTCGAGTACTTGGCAGTCGCTGGTCTCAAGAGGGGGGGCACTGGAGTCCACGAAACCCTGGGGCACTGTGTCACCCTGGAGTTCAAGGCTCTGCAGCGCGTGCACTGCACGGACAAAGCACCTGAACGCCTTCTCTGCCAGACTGTCTTCCAGTTTCGATGGGTCCTTAACTGACAATTTGTTAGTTTGCCCATTTGTCGGAGATCTTGTTTCACCCCCTGTTGCAGAGCAATTTCAGATGGATATCACTTGCCCCCAAGTAGTGCAATGAAATTCAACCCTACAGGCACATCTGCCAACACAGCAAGACACATGCAGCCATTTGCCTTTGGACCATGGCGATCTAAGACAACAGCAAGAGCCACAGCAGCACAAACTCAGGAGTGTGTTGGAGAGCATAGCTTTCCTTGCTCCACAGAAGACCACAGAGAAGAACATTCCTGTGCACAGGCCCCAAGCCTCTTCCCGTTGTAACAAACCAGTACACGGATTTGAACAGGGTAGAAATTTCTTTGGAACTGTACCACATATACCAAAACCACATGCAAACACCATCTGGCAGACTCCACAAGCCCATATCTCCACAATTCACTACTCTGGCCCATAAGATAGCATGCAATCAGAATACTGTTACAATATTGCACATCCCCATTCTGTCATAATTCACAGCCCAGTTATCCCTTTCTGCTGAAAAAATCAAACCCATCCATTGGTGTCACACATGCCCACCCAAAACACAAGCCAGGCTGCCGTTCCAGTTGAATTGCACGCAACTTCAGCAGAGAGTGTAGAGTGTTCCCACACAGTCATCTCCCCTTCATAGACCAGACAGCAGCCAG